CAGCGTCCGCTTAGTAAACGCTGCGAGAATTGGTTTGGACATTACTCGAAACACAATCGTGTTTTCACATACATATATATGACATCAGAACTAGTTCGCGGAAGAGAACGGATTCGATTTGTTTGTTGTTTTTTTATGTTTTTTTTTTCTATATTGTAAATCATGTAACTTTAAATGACATTTCCACATGTTTGTTATAAAGATGTTCCTATGTGTGTACAAGGTATGAAATAAACTCTGTTCTGTTGTGTTCTTAACTCCTGAAACTTAAGGAGATAGTTAAAGGAGCTTCACTGAAGTCCAAAAGCTTAAAATAAATAAAAAATTTAATTCGTGCATTGATTTACAGTTGTGAAAATATACCAGAGATTATAGAAAAAATACTCATAATTATTTGAAAATCAATGTTTTCGTGATTCAAAGCCCAATTTGAGTTAAATGCGTTGTAACGTTTTTCAATTTTTGGTCATTTTGCGCTATAAAAATAAATAAACAGAATAAACGAACTGACCCAATGACCTGAAAAGGTACAGGTAAAATATTAGTCTAGACCTTCAACAAATGGTATACAAAGCTTGAAAAAATATTTCCAGTCCCTTCATGTAAAAACAAAACAAAAAACCCTCAGTGGTGTCCCTTTAATTAAAGTTTTAAACTACAGAAAAAATCAGAGATTAACATACCCTCTCCAATTCTGGGCCTCTGTTACGGTTACCAAAACAACGAACAAAGCTAACCAAATTACTCCAAACGTTTTATATATCATTTTACATTAATATGACATATGGTCCTTCTTCAAATGTCTTTCTTCGAGTCAACTATTCTTGTTTATAAGTACTCCCACAAGACCAGGAAGTTTTAGTCATCTTAGTCTTTAAAAAAAGCTGTAATTATATACGCATTTACCAGATCGATATTATAGGTTATTTTTCAAAAGAAAATTGCTGTACATAATATCATTAATCTGAAAGAAATTTTGGCAGACGTTTATAATAACTTAAATTTCAACTCAAATAAATAGCTATTAAAGGAGCTCTGAGGTCCAAAGGGGTAAGAAGTTACTAATAACAATTAAATTAGAAATCCTTGCATAGATCACTTGGCACTCTTAAAAACAGGAAAACATCTAAATTTTATTAAAGAAATACACTATATATCAAGATGAAAATTTACTTTTATCGTGTGCAACTCTAAGCTCAAATTGAAGGGAATAAAGCGTTTGAAAGCTTTTCAAAGATGCCTCAATTCCTGAAGCTTCCCCTGGTTGTTTGGCGTGCCAAGTATTAAAGCACCAGCACACGGGACCTCGACCTAAAGTCTCATCTGTACTTCATAGTAGCTTTAGTTTGCCAGCCCGAGGATCGAACTTACAATGTCGAGATAACAAGTCTTGCGCTTTAACCGATTAAGCTTTGCGGGCTTGCATATTTTGTTAACTGTGGATGCGTCTTGTAAGTATAAAATTTCGGCGGGAGAAGTGTCGTTTTCTGTAATTATGCATGTATCATATCAAGTTGTTTATGATATGAAAATTGTTATAAAAACCAAAATAGTATTATGTTAATATAGCATGTACATGTATCTACTTTCACTAACTTACAATACCTGTTTTGTATGCCCATGCGTGCACAATACCCATAACAAATATTCAAATTACAGTATCTAGTGTTTGAAAGTATTCGTTGTCCAATAGGATACATGTAAAAGCATTTCAAATGAAAAGTTACATATTTACATTAGTTTATAGGCTTATAACTTTTTTTATCGGTGTAGTAAATCGACTGTTTACATGGTTTGTAAAAGTAATTTCAAACACTAAATTGGTTAGTGTTCATTTAATGAATGAATGAATGAATGAATGAATGAATGAATGAATGAATGAATGAATGAATGAATGAATGAATGAATGAATGAATGAATGAATGAATGAATGAATGAACGAACGAACGAACGAACGAACAAACGAACGAACAAATGAAATAAAATGTTGCAGGCTCGGTTTGATTGAGACTATGTATGGACGGGACTGGAAAGTTCAAGCTACCGTCCACGCCCCATCCCCATATAGCACCGCTTAAGTAGGATTCAACAATTTAACATGAAATGATAAAATATTTAATTGAAAACATCCACCGATGTGTTCATACGACGGTTTCGTGGATCCTTCAATGTGACACGTAAGTGCTATTCCGTGAAAAACCGCGAAAGGTCCGAAGTAAAAAAAAACCCCCCTTACGTATGCCCTAAAATAAACGAGAAACAAATGGGCGAAACTAATTAAAGACAGATATATCTACATTTTAAAACAATTTACATGGCATATCACAACAAAAGAAACATGTATAAAAATAAATTAAGAATAACAGCAGAAAACACTAAATCAAATACCTTAATCAAAACCTATAATAGAATAATTGAGATAATCATCAAAACAGTATAATAAGGTCAAGTAAGGTCAAGTACGGGTCACCGATTGAATATAAACTCCAAGTAGTCTAGATCGAACTGGCATAATTGTAGCCGCGTCACGACAAAACCAACGTAATGCGTTTGCGATCAGCATTGATCCAGACCAGCCTGCGTATCCGCGCGGTCAGATCAGGATCCATGCTGTTCGCTTGCAAACCCTATAACAAGTAGAGAGATTGATAGCGAACAGCATGGATCCTGATCAGACTGCGCGGATGCGTAAGCTTGTCTGGATCCATGCTGGTCGCAAACGCATTACGTTGATTTTGTCGTGACGCGGCTCATTTATGTACATTTTTCAGATCTTAGATCAGATATATGATCAATAGATTATTCAAATATTTGCTACAAATATGTGGTATAAAGTCATTAGACCCTGACACTTTTTTTATCTGTTTTGTATCTGAAACGCGACATTTATTATTTTTATTTTATGTTGAAACTTAAAACATATTATAGCAAGGTTTCCTATCTAATTTATTTCAACCCTATAATTTTCTACTTTCAGTTGTTAATTGACACGTTTGTCTGATTATTTCTTTATTTTTTACATTCATTATCAATAAAATATTTTTATGATATATTTCGAAAATGAAATTTACCGCCAAATCTACAGTAATGAATTTTTTTTATATATTTTTTTTTAAAGACTTTTACAAGCATTGTATGCTAAATGCCATATTTAGACACATCGCATGCGCAACAAAGATACCCCGAATGACGTCACGCGCACGTGCGGCGGTCATGTTGATAGGCAGTTTTCGGGGTATGGGACAATATTAAAATGCTTTAATCTTTTCTTTCATAAAAGGTGTCATAGACACTTTACATTATAATGAATAGGATGTATAAAAATGTATTATTTATAGATGTAAATTGTTTCAAGTTACATAAGGAAATAACTGTAATAGTATACGATGTTAGAATGGGATCCGGTCCGAAAATCACGATGTGGTCATGTAATGTGATGTGATGTGATGTAATGTAATGTGATACGATGCGGTGCGAAACGAGTATCGAAACACAAAATACGTTATTATTATGTTTCTCAATTATCTAATATTAGTATATAATTAATTTAAATAAGGCGGTGCCGGGGAGCGTGGGCGACAGCTGGCAATAACCGTTGTGATATACAAGCATACTCATTTTGCCAAACCTGCAACATTTTCAAACATCAAAAACTTCTTATGTACATGTTTGTAATTTTAACCCAGAAAAATACCGTAACAAACACCTTATTACGGAAATATGACCCAAGGATGCTAAAAAAACCAACAACAACTAAGATTATGTTTCGGACATTAATTTCCTCCGAGTTAGTCGTAATATTATTACGCCTTCTTTAAAATATAACGATAACGATGAATATGCTTTACTCATCAGATGCAAAGTCACGAACAGTTTTTATTTAAACGAAAAGTGAATTATTCATTAATTTTGTAAAATAAAATTTGTAAAATATATATAACTTAAGTTTCTCTCCTTTCCAAGCGGAACGCTCTTAAATAACAAAATCATTTTGCATAAGTAAAAACAAATTATTACGGATGGCTAATTACAAAGTATAACTTTCGTAGCATCTTTTTAGCCTCTCCTTACATCTGTTTAAGCGCGCGTGATTTATGTACTGAAAAATATTTTGTGATGTTTATAGATATATATTTTTGGTATTTATTCAGGAATAAATACTTGCAACGTGTTTCATAATACGGTTCAATACGGATAAAGTTTCAACATATTGTTGGTAAAATTCTCATTTTCGGATAAAGAAAAAATATCAAAGCGACGAGCAAAGTGAGGATAGACCGTGAAAGTTAAAATCGGTCTGTAAAATATTTACCGCCCAGTTTTGATCGATTTTAAATCAATAATGTATCAAAACAGGGTCGAGATTTTCAATAAAGAAGAAATTGTACCCACATTTGGCAGGTTAAAATTATCAATACTTACCGAATACACTTTGATACATATACACGTGGAAGAAAACAATTTGATTTGAGTTAATATACAGAAATGATCTGTTTTCTTAATGTCAAAAAATAAAATTTAAAGTTGCGTGAAAAATAATAAATTTTGAAGACAACAACATAAAGCAAGGAGGTAAATGTGGATGAAAAACAAATAAAGGGACCGGAACATGTTCTAAACCTGTAGCCAGAAATAGTGTTGTTTTACGTGAATAATCAAAACAATGACAATAAACTAAATTACGTTTGCATATATCATAGAGAAACGTCTGGTGCTAAATGACGTCATTAACGGTACGTAACGAATTGATCATCAAATTTTACTAGAACATTCATGGACTGAAATAGCCAGATATTCTAGCGAATTCGCGGGTCCGTTGAAAATGGATAAAATGAAAGATTTTCAAGAATTTTTGTAAAACATGACCAATAAAAGTAAAATATTTTATTTCAGATTATGAATCGAATAAACGTGTTTTACATTAATTCACTATCACTTTTACCACAAAGATAACATCGGAGTTAGAATAATAAAAAAAATATATCATAAAAAAAACTCACCCTCTCCAATTTTGTGCGTTCCCCACCGTTATTAACAAACAGACCACTAAAACACTGAAATTTATTCCAAAACTGTTCCAAATCATTTTGCCTTCTCTACACTTCCGCCCTCTAATGCTTTTCTTTTTGCGATCTAGATACTTATATACCTATCTAGACAAGGAAGTTTTGTCACAGGATTCGACTTTGAAAGGAATGGGGGAATCTAATGAAAAATAAACTAGAAATATGCACATGTTCATGCATAGAACACGGATACCCTCCCTCGCTAAATGACATGCTTTACCTCCAAGTAGAACTTGACCTTGGTGTTGCGCAGGCTTTGGTGAAGACATTTGCAAAATTTTGACCATCCATCAAAAATTATGATGAGAATAAATTATAAGCAAAATAAGCCAAGAAGGACAATTTAAACTGGTAAAGCCAAAGTAATATATGTACAGGTAGCAATGTTGATATCTGAAAATCCCTAACACTTTTTAGACTTTCTTCACAATGATATGGAACTTGAACACTGGAAATATAATTGAGTTGACAGACAGAATACATATGATTATCATGTAAATGAGTAGTTATTGAATCCGAAATTTTATATATGTATATAATTATGCTTCCAAAACAATTTTCAAACATCGAAGACTATGTAAAATATGTACTGCAAATATTTGTCAACATTATATGTAATCATTAAAATAAATGCATTCATTTCTTATTGAAAAAAATTGACTTAGACTTTATAGAAAATAAATGTCTAATTACCTCCCTTTATTTACATGAAATGCTAAATTCGGTAAAATCTTTATAAATAATGCTTTTTTTGGAACTTACAATATTGATAAATCTTAATATGGGCATCATATTTATGATATAAAACCTTAAAAAAATTGTGTTACATGATCTTTTATGTAATGAGTCAGGGCAACAAAACGTGTAAATGATACAACATGGCTCAGCTCAAGGCTTCAAAATATAAATGAACGCTTTTCTATGTTAGCAAACTGTTTAAATAATCTCCGGTCTACTTTAAAAAAAGAAACTTGGAATTCTGAACAGCTTCATATCTAAACTGAATGTCTTTTTAGTACATTTTTTATGTTTCTTTAAGTATATCATAAATGTACTTATTATTTTATATATATAAAAAAACGTTATTGAAAAACTCTTGCCATATGTTAGTAAATAGTTGAACCAAAAAAAGCAATCTGGACACAACACTTGAAACATCAACTTGGATATAAAGTGTGTTTTGTGTAATTTTAATTCAAGATGGACAAGTACAAAATTGACGCATGCATAAATTCGAGTGTATACTAATACATTTTTTTTTAGAAATTCTTCGACTAACGCGAAATTTTGAGTAAAGCGATTTTGACTTAATGAGAGTCAACTATATTTTAAAAATATTTTCGATGTAATTTTAGCATATTGATCATGTCAATGTTTTACTTTACAAAAAATATATACAAAGATGGTTTGATCTACCAAGCGAGGATAATGAGACTATATAAAGATTTGCTCGTACTTCCTTGTTCTAATTTTCAGGTATAAATTTCGCTTAGATTCTCTACTGTTCAGCACCACTAGGTTTACATTAAAGTTTCAATTCATTATTTAGAGATACAATGAAATTGAAAACTTTGATGAGGCCAATTTTGAGATATGTACAATTTTTCACAGATAAAGTCCCCCTTTCTTTTCTGACAGGTCAGATCTAGGTTTTATAGACCTGATATATTTGCCTTCTTTTTAAAGAACAATTCGGCTTTATTTTTTATTTAGATTGATTTTCGTAAAATAATAATGATCGGTAAAACAAAATATATATTTTTTTGAATATGCATCCGTTTACAAACATATACCTTTATTGAAATAGTAAATAGTAATAGCACATGCTAGCGACATATGAATATAACTATGTGACTTTTGCATACCAGGTTTGATTATGGTTTACACTATTATTTCTTACAATGATTTCCCATTTAAAATTAATGGTTGTGTCCAAACTGAAAGACGGACGAGTCAATTTAAGAAATTTAGCGTGGTCAAGGTTAAAGTTAGTGTAACGGAACAAATATAACTGACAAATTTAAGGAGCTCTACAGAGATCAAAAAGCTTAAAAAATACAAAATTTTAAATAGGCCAAGTAAAGACACTTAAAATGGAAAACTCTGCAAAGGATGATAGAGAAATATACTCTCAATAGATAAAAACCCGATAACTTGTGCAATTCTTTGTCCGATTTGAGTGAAAAATGTTGCAACGCTTTTCATTTTGGGTCATGTTGCTAAATAAAAATGATTATTGTGGGGAAAAAATGGGGTAAGGGAATGATCTGAATATTTGCACACACGTTATTTTTCAGACCTATTTTAAATGGTACACAAATATCGGATTTTGTTCTGGTCCCGCCATTTCATGAAACTTCAATAGAGTCCCTTTTGCTATACTCGCGATGAAGAAGTACCTTGGGATTTTGAATTAGGGGGTGCGTACTTTCTTAAAATAAATGGTTATAAATACATTTATATTAATGTTTGCCTTAGAGCCAGGTTTCATATACATGTATATATCTTTTACAAAGAACATTTTTTGTAAGGGACTACATGTGCAAGTTGAGTGTGAACATGCCAACACGGATTTGGCTTGGACTTGTAGAATGATGTTCGCACGATCACCACTCATCTAACTTCCCCATCTGTTACTCATATCAAAAATCACCATCAACTATTTAATTTTATTCTATGCACGGAAATACGTGTATTTTTTTAAGTGAAACTTGTTGGTAAAATAACCTCAAATATTATAATGAATGCAAACACTTAAAGGCATATAGTGGCTCAGAAACGGATATGATTTGGTAAACGTGAGTTTTATAACTTTTGAATAATGGTTTTAAGATTTAGGCTGATTACTACCTTGAGAAAACATCACTAAATGTGAAATTATTTGTCATAAAAGTAGCAATTTGTAAACGAAGTAGTATTTGACTTCTATATAAAATGTTTAAAGGCCCATTGAGCCCCCTAAATGCTATAGTTTTTATTTCTCAAAAGCTTCATTTTTTGGTGGTCTGATACAGTTTAGATAAAATTTTACTTCTTTTGCTATTTTACTATTGATATAGTAATTTAATATTGTGTATGGAAGTCAACAAACTTCTTTATTTACATTTTACTCCCTTTGCCCTTTGCCACACATTACAGCACGTTCATCTCGGTTAACATCTAACATGATTTAAGTCTATCATTATAACACTATTAAACATATGTTTGAACTTTCGAAAGAATTTAAATTTTGTTGATTTCTAAGGCATAGTGTGCCTTTAAATGAATATATTTGTAAATTGAGCTTCTAGAATACACTAAAAAATTAGCACACGGAATTGTTGATATCTTACTTTCAGTTTTTTGTGGTTTTGAGGCAAGAGATTATTAATTTCCGTTAATTATTCATGTTGACGTGCGAGATAAACAGTATCAAATGCAAAAGGGAAAATAACAATGCACTTCATTAAAGAAGGAAATGAGCTGTGGTTTTATATTGTCACCCCCCCCCCCCTTCTCCGGCGATTTACCGGGGTTTTGATGGTGAAATTTTCATTGATCTGTTCTTCTCTGCTCAGGAAGCGTTGGGAGAAGGGTAGAGTTGGGAGAAGGATTGTGTTGGAATAAGGGTCGCTTTGGGAGAAAGGTAACGTTTGGAGAAGGGTAACGTTGGGAGAGGGTTGCATTGGAAGAAGGAAAGCGTCGGAAGAAGGGTAGCGTTGGAAGAATGGTAGCGTTGGGAGAAGGGTAACGTTGGGAGAGGGAAGCGTCGGAAGAAAGGTAGCGTTTGAAGAAGGGGTAGCGTTGTTAGAAGGGAAGAGTCGGAAGAAGGGAAGCGTTGGAAGAAGGGGTAGCGTTTGAAGAAGGGGTAGCGTTGTTAGAGGGAAGGGTCGGAAGAAGGGAAGCGTTGGAAGAAGGGGTAGCGTTTGAAGAAGGGGTAGCGTTGTTAGAAGGGAAGCGTTGCTAGAAGGGAAGCGTTTGAAGAAGGGAAGCGTTGGAAGAAGGCTAGCGTTCAGAGAAGGGTAGCGTTTGGAGTGGGTGGCGTTTGGAGAAGGGTAGCATTCTGAGAAGGGTTAAAGGTTAAATGCCAACTAACCGATACATAAATGACATGCTGTTGTTTTAATTCGACAGATATGAATACATGTTTGAATAAAACACTTGAAAAATTGAAACCCTCTTCCGCATTCAAACTACCAAAATTATGGTTGCCGAATACTTCATTATTATCTCTTGCACGGTTCAGTATAAATGTGGTATTTGTTAACCGTCCAAATATAGACATAAATATTGCAACATTTATTATGTACTATAAATGTGCAAATCATATCTTTAGATTTTGCTTTTAAGAACATGCAATAAATAATGTTTATTGGCCGCATTTTATATTTTGGTGGTTAAAAAGATGTATATATATGTATATATCTTAATAAAAGTTAAGCACAATTATTCTTAAATTTCTATAGTATGAATTTTATTAAAGGCCAATTAAGCCTCAGAAAAGAAACATTTTTTTTTCTTCTTTAAAAAGGTCATACATTCCGATTTCAACAAGCTTACTATCCTATAATTAGCTTGTTTACAGTATTTTACTTTGAAATACATTCTCAAAATGTTCATGAAATTAGCATGAATCTAGAGGCATGCTGCTTTAAATGTAGTAAAATGGATCTGTTATATTGTAAATAATCGATCTCGTTTGAAAATCGGGTACAATGTGAAATTGCCGTTGAGCAATAAAATACCTTTAACATATTTGTCATATAAATGAACTATCTTTGCTTCTATCACTGTGTAGACAATTGGTATAAAGATATTGAATGAGTATTTTTGTATGGAAATCAAAATACTACTTTGTTTACATTTTGCTACCTTTATGGCACATTACTGCAATTTCAGTGCTATTTTCTAATATTGTAACACATCTAACATGCTCTAAATCGATTATTTAAACATTTTAAATACGTGTTAAAATACGGTATGACAGTATATGTGACTTGCTTGAAATATATCTGATTTTACATTGTTTTTAAGAAGTTAAAGTCAAAATTGTTTCTAACATTTAGTTATAATGTAAAGCAAAAATTAATACAAAAAAAATGAA